AAAAAAAAAAAAAAAGAGAGAGACACCTAAATCTTTTATCTGGGCACGGTGGCACACACCTAGAACCTCAGCACTCAGGAGGCTGAGGCAAGAGGCTACTAGCTGTGCTTATTTGCTCAAATTATTTCCTTTTTGCATTTTATTTTTGCTTTTTGCATTATCCAGTCTTCTCAGTATCTTGTATAAATCATCGCCTAAATTTCTCTAAACTCCCCAAGCCTTCACCTAAGTCATCAGAAGTCATTTTATTTCTTTGCAGTAATTTTAATTTGGATTTCAGTCCTTACTTATATTTTGGGAGGTCCAGCTATCTACAAAAGCCTGAAGGCATAAAATGTTTAGTCTTACCAATGTCCTGTCTACATCAGCATTCAGAGTTACTGCCTGTCACTTTCCATGATGATAATTTTATTTATGGCTTTTATAACCTCTTGGTCAGAAGTTATTAGCTTGGTACAGGCTATTCGAATACTGTCCCATATTTCCAGGCGTGATGGCACATGCCTGTAATCCCAGCACTCTCAGGAGGCTGAGGCAGGAAGATTGTTGCGAGTTCAAGACCAGCCTGGGCTACAAAGTGAGCTCAAGGCCAGCCTGAACTGCATAGGGAGACCCTGTCTCAAAACACACACACACACAGAAACCAAAAAAGAAAGAATACTGTCCTATAGCAATGAAACTATCTTGTATATTTTCCTTCTTCACCCCTCCCCAGTTACATTGTAAACTCTAAAACAACACTCCTGCCCAAGCTTATTGTCTGTTTTCTTGGTACCTGGTTCCCATTTGTGTGGCTTCAGGTATCTATGCTTTTACTTAAAGTACAGATTCCTGCATATATTGATATGAACGTTCCCTGGTTATACTTTATCAGGAGTTTTCTCATTGCCATCATTTATTGGTTTAATTGTCACAAGCTTTAAGAGATACCGCATTACACATAGATCCATTTGTCAACTGGAAATCTTGCTTCATTCCACTCACAATGCATAAACTTGAGCAAATTGAAAAGCCTGTATCAATAATAATTTGTTGGGCTGGGGATTTAGCTCAGCGGCACAGCGCCTGCCTGGCAAGTGCAAGGTCGTGAGTTCAGTTCCCAGTACCGGAACAAAACAAAA